TAGATCAACATTACAAACCCAGAGACTTCCAGTATGTGAATTCGTTGACGCACTTTGTGAACGATTGGGAGTATTGAAATCTCATCATTTCATTGCAATACAGCAAAACGCTTTCATGAAAGAACGAAAAGAGAATTTCATTGATGGTGAAATACTCGTGCAGGCTGATTTTTCGGAGAATTATGCCTTCGTAGCTCCAGACACTGCTCAATCTTTTCATTATAACAATGATCATTGTACTGTCCATCCAGTAGTGTACTATTATCGCTATGGCAATGATATTCAACATCGAAGTTTAGTCATCTTATCTGATAGTCTCGTTCATGATACTACTGCAGTTCACTTGATGCAAGAGATTCTGATACGACACATACAACAAGTCTGTGCTGTCGTAAACAAATTGATCTATGTCACAGATGGTGCCGGTCAACATTATAAGAATCGATATAATATGGCTAATCTTTTGTTGCACAAAATAGTACATTACGCAACTAGTGCGGACCGCCTGCTGTCCGCACGTGTTGCGTATACTATTTTATATGATAAGTGCGTGATGAAGTCTGGGGGCGGAGAGGGGGGGAGTGGGGGGTGTGGGGGGCGAAGCCCCCCACGAGAAAAGCGGGTCCAGGGGGCGAAGACCCCGGTGGGGGGAGGGTTGGATCCACTGAAGAAAAAAGATCACATTTATTTAAAAAAATAATTATAAAAAAGTGTGATTTAAAAATTATGCGGAACTTCTGAAGAAAAAATTAATTATATTCATGAAATATGTAGTTCAAAAAACTTGTAAAGGATTTTTAATTGAAAAAAATTAATTATGAAAATTACAAAATACAATTTTTACAAAATCATTAAGAATTCGCAAAAAAAAAGAAAGTTATAATTATAAAAAAATATCATACAAAACGTAATTGAAAAATCGGAGAATATTTTATNAAAAATATGATACAAAACGTAATTGAAAAATCGGAGAATATTTTATTTCCATTTTCTTCAAATGTCACATCACCAATAAACTCCTCCTCATCAGTAAATAAATTCTCCTCACTGCCTAACTCTTCATCACTATCAGGAATTATACGATTTTGGCTCATTTTATCTGCTTCGAAAATCACCTTTTCATTTTTCAGTCATTCCATGTATTCACTATTCGGAGGTTAGATTTCCTTCCTTGTTATTCTCTTTTAATAGGTGATGCGCATGCGCGTCATGCGTTATTTCGGGTTTCAGTTGACTATAGTCAACTGAAACCCATGCGGTTACACGCACGTATCATATAAATGATTTTGGAGTTGAGGCTGAGGCGCACTTTCATGCGACCGACCGCGTATGGAAACACAGCATGCGATGAAGTAGGCACAGTCTTTAAGAGAGAAGCAAGACGGAGAAGTCTGCAAATTCCCGAAATGGTGAACCTATTCTCACTACGGATACTTTGTTCCAGTGGGCGAAGAATAATTTCAAGGATCTCGACGTTTTTTTCTATAGTAAACGAGAACACGTGGATATGAACGAACGTTTGAAGACAAGATTCGACAGTGCAAAGGCGATTCCACCTATACAGAAAAATCATGGTTTTATTCCTCTGGAAGGAAAGGAATTATTAATCAAGAGATATTCCGCTGCAACTAGAGGAGAAGTTTTCCCGAAGACGAAGCAACGGAATGAACGACGTACATCAAGGTAGCCATTGTGATACAGGAAAATCGATTGCAACGTGCTCTTTCTCTGCTACTGAGTGTTGATCGTCGACCTAAAAATTCGTCGAATAGTAAGCACTTTGTGAATTTTTATTGTTATTCATATACTTGTAGCCGTGGATAATTAATAAACCCAATTTTTTACATGAAAATGTTTTTCATTCGTCGATACTCATATATCCCATTTTGAAATTGAACGAAATTTTAACATCTTGGAATGATTTTGTTGTATTGTTTTTCAAAAAGTCATTATTTATCACAATCCGCCGACAGGTCCGTGAGAAATGTTCCATTGAAATTTTGAGTTTTGGATATGCCTAACAGGTACACGAGTGATGTTGATGGGATGCAAATTTATGAAAATTTCAAACTTACATAGTAGCTGACTTTGAGCATGCCAATGTTCCGTTTCGAGACCCAAAAAAATCCAAGGTGGCTCAATTGACATGAAATGTTTCATGAATGATCGAAAAATCGAAATTTCCATGAAAAAAAAATTTTTCCCTCGTCTCCATAGGGGTTTTTTCAAAAATATCCCAAAAAAGTTGTGTATTATGATGATCCATAGAGGAAAAGAAACATTCCATTTCCCTTTGGCCTTTGGATAACACTGATATTCAAAGACTGAAAAACGCGAAAAATGGGTTTTTCTTTATTGTTGTGGTACTGTCTTATTTTTATTCACAAAGTACATGAAAAAACGAAAAAAATCGTTTTTTATTTATTGAAATTCGACAATTTGTTCGCAAGATATGATTTTTCGAAAATTGGAGCTTTTCTCATATGTTGCAGACAAACAATTGATGCTAAAGGAGCGAAAATTTAGGGGAAGTATTTACTGATGTATTACTTGACTGTGAGCATACTAATTCAGAATTCTTAGAACCCAAACAATTCAGGGTGGCTGAGTTGACATGGAATGTTTCATATGACCCCTGATATAAATTCACCCTTTTCATGCCCCGCACCTAGACCCCCTTATGTAAACCCCTCTACCCATTATTGTACTTTATTGATTCCCCTTAGGGTTACAAGGACTTCCGTTTACATATGCTTAAACTCTAACTACCTACTTATGATCTAACTATTTACATGCCTATATACATTAACTTAACTTAAATCAAAAACCATTCCAAGTGAGATCGAGACTGAGTGGGAGCATGAAGGGGACCCTCGCTTCCGGTCTCTGTTTGAGCCTCNCCCCCCCCCACACACATACACGCACCTTCAATCTCTCTTTACATTCTATCTCTCTCCCTTTCCCCACTTATTTCCTTTTCTTTTCCATAATTCTCCCATTCCACCATCCATCTCTCTCCTCTCCCATCCTCCCCTAGAATCTCATTCACTCTCTCCGCTGCTCCTCTCTCACTACCATCCTCACCCATGCATTCTTCTAAGACGTACCCCCATGTCTCCCTCTGCGCCCCACATCTCCTGCATTTTCTCATCTCCGTTCTCCACTTTTTCTCTCCTTTCAGTCCGTCCCCCATCCTAAATCTTGCTACCCTGTTCCATCTTTCCTCTCCCCAGCTATTTTCCAAGTATTTCGGGATACCCTCCACTGCTACCCCCGGGTACCGTAGGTTTCCCGAAAACTGCACAATCCCCTCCCACCTCTCCTCCACCTGTTTGCTTCTTTCTTCCTCTTCCACCTTCCCAAAATCCTCTCTATCTTCTCTCCCACCCGCCCTTTCCTCTCCTCTTACCTCTACCTCTTTCCTCTCTAAACCTGCGCCGACCTTCCTCCCACCTTGACCCCTTACTTGTCCCCTCTCTACTCTCGATCTCTTCCAGACACGCTCTCGCCAGCTCACTACCTTTCCCTCCCCTCAGCTTCTCCTCGAATCTCCACGCTCTCTTGACTCCTCTGCTAAACAATTTATCTCGTTTCACTTCCTCCCTCACCAGATATCCCGGCGTGCTTCTCCTTAGCCCCAGCACCCACTTAAGGTACCTTTCCTGCATCCTTTCCACCGCATCCCATTCCTCCCACCCCCAAATCTCCGCCCCATAACTCACCACCGACCAGACCAGAGCGTCGAAAAGCCAAATTCTTCTCATCCAATCTTTCTTAAACCTCCTTTTCTCTATCCCCCATACCGATCCCATCACCTTCCCTGCCTTCGCGACCCTTTCCTGTACCTGCCTCGCCTGCCCTCCCGTGCTTTTGAACCAATATCCTAGATAGCAGAACTCCCTAACCTCCTCCACCTTCTTCCCCCCTAATTTCCATACCTCTCTATCCTCCATCCTCTTCGCTCTCTTCCTAAACACCATTACCTTCGACTTTTCAGCATTTATCATCAAGCCCTTCCCCCTTATGTACTCGTTCATCTGTCCGATCATGATCTTCATTCCTGCTTCATCCTCTGCTAGCAGCACCATATCGTCCGCGTATGCCAGTGAGAATACCTTCGTATTTCTTAGTCCGACCCCCCTCCTCTCCACCTAAACCTCAAAAACTCTTCCAGGTCCGCCAGAAGGATGTTGAAGAGTATTGGACTGAGAGGGCACCCCTGCCTCACCCCTCTCGCCGACCAAAACCTATCCGACACCTTCTCCCCTACCCTAACCTTGCTCGCCGTTTCCTCATACATCTCCTTCACTCTCTCTATCAACCCTTCTGACACCCCCCTAGCGTTTCCCACGGGACTCCTCTATTCACCGAGCCGAAGGCTGCCTTCAGATCCACGAAGAAAGCCACCAATTTTCCTCCCTCCTTTGCCAGTTGCTTGGCCACTAAATAATTCAATACGTATATATTATCCACCGTCCCCATCCCCTCCCTAAAACCCGTCTGGTTATCCGGTACTATCTTTTTCTCCTTTACTTCCTTCTCCAGCCTTCCCGTGACCACCGATGCATACACTTTATATAGCGTATGCATCAGTGTCACACCTCTGAAATCCCCCACTTCCTGCCCTCACCCTTCTTCATATCGGAGCTATTAAACCTTCTTTCCAATCCTCCGGCCATCCCTCTCCTTTCCATACTTTCTCACATATCCTCCATGCCACTGTCCTTATCCTCTCCTTCCTTCCTTCCAAATCTCATTTTCTATTCCATCCTCCCCCGCCTCTTTACCTCCTTTCAATTTCCTTATGGTGTCCTCCACTTCACCCTACGTTAACCCCTCCACATCCTGGCCTATTATCCTTTTGCTCCCCTGCCCCTTTACCCTCCCCTCTTCCCCTCCCAACAACTGCATAAAGCAGTCCTTCCACTCCTCCAACCCAATGTCCTCGTTTATCCCTTTCCACACTTTTTTCTCCCTGTTTATCACCTCCCACACCTTACCTGCGTCCACTGCTTCCTCCACCTCTCTCTCGAATTTTCTTCGCTCCTCCGCCTTCTTCTCTTCACACAGCTTAGCATACTCTCTTTTCCTCTCCCTATATTCCTCCCTATCCACCACCCCCTTCCTTGCTCTCCTCAGCGCCTTCCTTGCTTCCGACTTCAGTGCCTCACACTCTTCATCCCACCAGTCCCCCCATCCTTTGCTCCTTCTCCGCATGGCTCCTTCTATGTCCTCCTTCACTTGTTTCACCTTCGCTTTCACTTCATCCATCAAATTATTCACTGTACCTCTAACGTCCCATTCCTATTCTTCCAGCCTCCTTCTTAGTTCCTTCCTCTTCCCCCTGTCCCACATCGCAACTTTTATCGCTTTTACCCTCCCCCCTTTCTCATTTCTTTCTCCCCTCTCTCCCCCTCATCACTCAGCTCCACTACTAATGGGGAGTGATCCGAATCACATCGCTCCCCTATGTCCAACCTCATTATTTCCCTCCTTACCTCATCCCCCGTGATTGCATAATCAATTACCGACCTTACCCCTGCCCTCTCGAACGTAAACTCCCCTTTCTCATTACCTTCACAATTTCCATTCAGGATCCCCCATCCCGTCTCCTCCAGCAGCCTTACTAAGCAGACTTACCCTCTCTGCATGCTTTTCTGTCGTCCATTGATTTTCTTTTGCCGCCCCCCTCCCCCGTCTCTGCATCCCCAAAACCTCCTTCTTTCCCTGTTTTCATATTAAAATCCCCTCCAATGATCGTCAGCTCCTCCGATTGCTCCTCCATTACCGCTTTCATTAACTCTAGGTTCCTTCCTGCGTCACGATTCACATACACGCCAATCAAATTCCACCTCTTTCCGCCCAAAATGATCTTTTCCGCCATCCACCCCTCCGTGCCCTGCTCAGCCATTTCAACCCCTCCCCATCCATCCTCACATAATTCCTTTTTAATCCCCAGCAACATACCTCCTATCGGCCTTCCTTTTTCATTATCTCTTCTGCCCACCTGCCCCTTCCACCTGAATCCCTCCGGCACTCTCGCCTTCACCCCCTCCCGCCCTTTCCTGTCTAACCACGTCTCTATCAGGAACACTACGTCCCATTCCCTCAGCCTTTTCCAAAAGTCCGGATCCTTGNCTCCATTCCTACTTTTCAACTTATTCTCCCGCTCGTCCCACAGCCATAGTTCCTCTCCTATCCATACCCTGCCTCTTCCTACTCTCACCCGCACCTTCAACAGGTGGCAACCTTCTGCCTCTACGTCCGCTATTCCCTCCAGCTCCCGCTGTATCCTTCTCTCCTTGAATGTCAAGTCACTCTCCAGCCTCTCCCTCCTCCCTCTCAATTTACTCCTATTTGTAAGCACTTTCCCCTTTTCATGTTCGTCCTTGAGACTTGCCACCATCGATTCTCCCCCATCCCTGTCCTTCTTCCCAAACTTCCTCACCCACAGAACCTCCACCTCCACATCCATCTTGTCCCTGAACATCTCCAGTACTGCCTCCTTTGCATCCCTTTCCTCCAAAATCATCCTCCTTATCACTACATTGCCCATCCTCTTTTTTCTTTCAATCACCTCCTCCTTCCACTCCAACTCCTGTAGCCTCCGTTCGATGGTCTCAATCCTCATATCCTCCTCCACAACCCTATCTGCCCCTCTTCCCTCTCTACCCTTCATTTCATTCCCTTTGGTCCTTCTCTCAGCCCCATTCTTTGCGTTTTCTTCCAGTCTCAGAAGTCTGCTGTTGACTTCATTCATTTCCTCCTTTCTCACTCTCTCCGACTGATCCATCTTTCCCCCTATCTCCACCATTTTCTCCCATATCTTCCCTCTTTCCTCCTCCCATTTCTCCTGCCATTTATCCAGACTCTCCTTCACCTTCTGGACTTCCTCCCTTCCCCCTCTTCCATCTACTTTTAATTCCTTCAGCGGTGCCATGATGTCCCTACTAAAAACCTCTACCAATCCCTCTAACTTGCCCACTCTTCCGCCCATCTCCTCACCCCCCTCCCCTGCCAGTCCTTTTTTCCTTTTCTTTTTTGCTTCCTCCTCCTCAAGTTCCTCACTATCTTCACCCGACTTGCCTTTCCTCTTCCTCTTTTCCTTTTCCTCCTCCCCTCCCTCCCCATCTTTGGCTGCGGCTCCATCCTCCTCTGACCTCTTTGCTGCCGCAATCATGTCCTGCACCGACACGTACTTCCTACCCAGCTTCTGCATCGCTATTCTCTCTCTCAACAGTTTCTGCGCACTTGGCAGTCTCCCTCTCCTTCTCCTCTGCGGCAAAATCGCTTCCCCTCCCTCCGATGTTAACTCCCATTCCAATCCCCCACTATAGTACCTTTTTTTTCCCTCTTTTCCCTTTCGCCGTTCACTTTCGCCGCGCCACCTGCGACCCCCTATCCTCCTCCCTCCTCGCGCCCCTCTCCTATCGCCCCCGGTTAACCCTTTCTCGACTATTCTCCCTTATCCCCACCTTCACCCTCCACCGTTATTCACACCTACTTTCCTCTCGCCCTCCTTCCTCTCCTTTTGCTCCCCCCCTAACCCTAAAATTTAATCCTCACGCACACCCACTCTCCCCTAACTTCCCAGAATTCACGTGTCACCCTTACCCTCCTCACACTCTCCCACCCCGGCCCTCACTCACCCTTGCTATCACCCTTCACACAACACACTCACCCCTTTCCCTCACCCTCTACCCCCCTTCTAACAGCTAAATTTAATAATCACTCCCTTTCACACTCGCACACTCCTCCTAACCTTCAAAAACTCACGTGTCACACTTACCCTCTTCACACTCTCGCTCCCCAACTCTCGCTCACCCCCGTTATCTCCCTACACACAACTCACTCTCCCCTTTCTCGCCCTCTCTCTCCCCACCCTCCCACAATTAAAATAATCTAACAAACCAGCACAAAAACCGACACGATCGCGACTACAGCACCCGCTCCTCACAGACCGGAAACGGAAGTCCCAACCCCTCTACCCATTGATAAAACCACCATTCAATAAAATCCCCTCAACTATAAGACCCCCCCAGATATGATTACCCCCATGAATAATCCTCCCTTACATGGAGCCTCCTCTTTGTATAATCCCCCCTCAGAAATTTGAAAAATTTTCTAGGTTTTAGAAAATATTTTTTCTAAAATTAAGTGTATGTTGGTGTAAAATTAATCATCGGTTTGATTAATTTTAAACGATTTTTTTCTCAAATTTAAAAATAAATAATTGTAACATCTAATTACAAAATAAATCCATAATCAAAAAATCAAACATTTTGAATAATCATTCGGTAAACAATTGAGTAATTGAAATATGAAGTTGACCATTGATTGAGTAAGCCAATTCTTTCAAACCCGATTGATGAATAATTCTGTAAATGAATAACTCTATCTTCGAATGAAAAAATAATTGAATAATCGTTTGATATTAATTCACTAGAAACTATTCGGAATAATCGATGAATTCCTCATTTAAATTGATGAAAAATAAAAAATTGAACAATATGCTAATTCATATTGATGATTGTTGAAGCAGTGAAAATTTTTGGGTTTCTGATTACTAGTTACCTAATCAATGGTAATTCGTTCCATTGCAATTGACGATTACTTGGTTATCACTGAATTTTTAATTTAAATTACAGATTAATAAAGGAATCAAAAAATGAAAAATCTCAATTAAAAAATTGACGGTGTAATGGTCATTAGAGCTCAAAATATTACAAAAGTAATGATTACTCCCGAACCCTGTTCCACTGCCGGTCTGTGCAATAATTTGATAATTGTATCAATTCCTTAACAAATATTTGTGAATACCGTTGTAGAATATGAAAAAAAATACAGATGCACAGAGAAAAAGAGTGGATTAGCTTTGGAAAAAAGATTTAGAAGAAAATCGTTTAAAATTAATGATCAGACTTGAGATTAATTTTAAACCAAAATATACTTGATTTTAGAAAAAAAAAATATTTTCAAAATCTAGAAAATTTTTTGAATTTTTGAGTGGGAATTTTGCAGAACGGAGGTTGTGATATCCGGCGGGGGGTTTTGCAAAGAGGGATGTTTTAGGAAAGGGTGGGTTATCGTTGACGTTATCCAAAAATATCTCCGAAACTAAGGAAGATGGCGAATTTTTACGAAAATTTGGGGGGTGGGGGTGAGTAGGGGGTGTGTATTGAGAATTCGCAATTGAAAAAATTGAGTCGGTCTGTTTTTTCAAAATTATCTCCGAAACTAAGGGAGCTGACGATTTTTTATGAAAATTTGGAGGGCAGGGTGGAGATGTGTATCGAGAATTCACAACCAAAAAAATTGAGTCGGTGATTTTTTTTCAAGAATATCTCAAAAACTAAGGGAAATAGCAATTTTTTACAAAAATTTGGGCGGAAAAGGGAGGGGGGGTGTGCATTGAGAATTCACAACCAAAAAAATTGAGACGCTTATTTTTTCAAAAATATCTCCGAAACTTAAGGAGATAGCGAATTTTTATTCAAAAATTAGGGAAGGGGGTGGCGGGGGACGCAAGCTGTATTAAATTCTCGATGTATAACTCACGCCCTCCCTCCTAATTTTTGGACAACATTTTTTCCCAATTTTGCAGTAAAAATTCGCTATCTCCCTTAGTTTTAGAGATATTTTCGAAAAACTCACTTTTTTTAGTTGTGAATTCTCAATACACATCCTCCTCCCTTCCCCCCCCCCTAATTTTCGTAAAAATTCGCTATTTCCCATAGTTTCTGAGATATTTTTGAAAAACTCAACGACTCAATTTCTTTGGTTGTGAATTCTCAATTCATAAAAATGTTGTCATGACCTTTTTGTAGAGCTCATTGAGGGTTACAAATAAGGTCACGAGAAAAAATTTTCTATCTCTCTTAGATTCCGAGATACTCATCAAAAACTGGCCAAAAATTCAAAATCGATTTAACCCGTTTCACCACTTCGCTATTGAATGTACTCGATATCTTGAAAGGTAAACAAGCGAATGTATACATGTCGATGATTTAACCGTTGCCATAAGGCGATGGCCAAGGAACTCCAAGGATATTTATATTTTGTTCTTAGAGCAAAGTAAATCCAAATAATATTGCATATTATCTGGAGTCTTTCCTTGTGACGTGAGGCACGCGGTTTAGAAAATGGATTGAAATCCCAAAAAAAAAAAAATTTTGAAAAAACCGGCCAAGTGCGCCTTTGTAAGCATTGTATTAAAAAAAATTGTCTTGCTTCTCAGGAAAAAATTTAAAAAAAAATTGCATTGTTTCTCAGAAAACAAATTGAAAAAATGTCGAGTAACCATTTCAATGGGTTGTTGTGGAAGAATGCCCGAGTACGTATTTATGGATAGTTGTTTCCGGCAAATTGAAAAAAGTACAGAAATACGGAAGAGAGCCAAGTTCATGAAGTTGAACTTGTCATTTTGATAAACCACAGAACTTTTCATAACATCTAGAAACAATTTCAGCTTTTTTCTACAGTCGGCTTGTACTGTTGCAAATTTTATAAGTTTGAACTCATCAATGCCAACTCAATATTGTCTATTTCTGAGAGTTACGGAGTGGGTACGACCATAAAAAGTGTGGTTATCAACACAAAGTCAATGAAAAAGAGTGTCAATACGAGTGTCTATTTAAAAATTTAAAATTGTTCAGAAAATTCTCAGAACCAACGTACTTGGCGCGGTTTTTTGAAACACTCACTGCGCAGAGTTGTCACAAACCAACCCTCGCAATGAATGAACCTTCTCCATGCTTTTATGGCGCGAATGCCAATAACTACCTGGCGATCACTAACTTAATTCAATTTCTATTCTGAAAATGAAAATATTTGAAAATGGAAAAGAATAAGGCTAAGGTATTAACTTAAACTATCTGGCAATTCCATCCAACATAATCACACAATTGACTATCTAAAGATTTGAACACTGTAATGGGTTCTGGGGAAACCCATTCTGCATCACCGGAAATTGCGGAGTCATCATCGAGAAAAACCGTGAGTACGCAGAAAATTGACCCATCGCGAAAATTTTGAGTAAATTCGTATTTTTAGAGATTTAGTTTTTGTATATTGTGGGAATTATTATTTGAGGAGAATTAGGATTTTGATTATTGGTGTTATAATTTTTTGAATTTATTATTGCGTAGTCAGCGCGTTAAAAAGACAATTACGTTGTTAGTTGATGATCTAGATTAATAGGGGAATTTTGAGTTTAGGTTTCGTTTGCGGAAACGCGTTCATTTCATTGTTTTCATTGATTATGGGGTTAAATAAATTTAATTATATAGGGCTGATTAAGTTTACGTGTCATAGGCCGATATTACCGAGCTGCGCGTTTATTTTTGAGGATTTTCCCTTTGTTTTGAGTCTTCGGGGGAATGTGTAGGTGCGATTGAAATATCGCCGCTCAAATTAGGGATTTTTGGGATGAAGTGAGTTTTCGTTTCCGTTTTGGGTGAAAGGCCAGAGGGACTAGAGCGACCCTAGAAACCCCTCTGGATTGTCATGGTCGATTTAGGGTTGGTTAGATAATTTAGGGAATAAGTTAGTTTAGAATTATTGTGATATTAATCACTTTATTCCAAAAATCCCGAGAATACGACCCCGGAGAGGATATTATAATTATTAGAATTTATTTCGAGTCTAGAACCGCTCGTAAAACCCCATTAAAGTCATTAGAATCATTTAAGTCATCAAACTTCGTTATTTTGAATTATCCGGGTAAAAGTAGAATTCTGCCGTTACCGGCCTCGTTAGGATTGCGCAATACGAACGCACGTGGTCGGTGGCACTTCGAGCGCTGCAACCACGTCCGTCCGCGCGCCGGCCATTGACGCCAGTATCGATTACCGTTCCACACGTGCTCAATTATTGCGAAATAAAAATCGTGTTATCACGGGAAATTGTTAGTTTGGAGAATTTTTTTGTGTTGAAGGAGNGTTGAATTAGTGAATTAGGGGATTTAATTAGATTTTGGAGAATCTTAGGAGTTTCGGAATTTTTAGTGAAGAACTTCGTGCAGTTTTCTGCGTTTTAGACTCAAGGTCGTGCATCGGTATGCCCAAATGCCGCATCCGGCGTATTAGTCACATGTATTTATGTTTTATGCTCACGAGAAGCCACTAATGTTTAGAGGAATTATTAGAGATTTTAGGATAGGATAATTGCGTTTTCGCCATAGATTTTGTAAGGATTTTTGCAGTTATTTCTGCGGCTTTT